ATTTGTGCTTGACAGAAACCTGCCATCTTATCCCAGCAGCGGGGCTCCAAGTTTCTGGAGGTGGCAGAAGGCGAGGTTCGCAGCCGCGGTGGTCGACAGAAGAGGATGACGGAGCGTGGGGGGGAGGTTTCCTTCTGGTGCGTCTCTGCTCCGTTTCCACTGCTTCATTTGCTACGCGCACAGAACTCCTCCTGCCTTTTCTTGGCAGAGGAGCCCCAGCTGGACGGGAGGAAGGTGTCATTCTTCACTCTCCTCGTTTTTGCTCGATGATGCGCGCTGGACAGGCTTTGTCTTGCATGTGTGCTGTGAAAAAATTAAAATACACACCTGCACACGTGCATACGCTGCTGTATGTTTGTCTTCCTACCCAAATGTTTGCGTAACGGTTTCACTTGGGGAAAGAGCGTGGACTGATCTTTTTCTGACAGGTGAGATCGTGACGTAAAAGATGCAGGTGACTAGCAAAATAAAAAAGGAAGAGAGAATGAACCAGCTAATTCCAGAATGAGATTAGGAAGGATTAGTCTGTCTAGCCCAAATCCGCAAACAAACAGGCTGGTTTCCTCCGCGCGTCAGGGAGAATATTGCCATTCGGCGACGGCCGTCTCTCTCTGCTGCGTTAGGCGATGCGCTCAGAGCTGCCGGGTAGGCGGCATAGATTAACTTGCCAAGAACCTTTGTCTTCAGATGATTCGTTGAGACAATTCACATTAGTAGGCGTTGCTGCGATCTCTTCCCGCTCATAGGAAGGGGGTCATTTCTCCAACTTTTGCTTGTGTCTGACTGACTTGCTCTGAGCTCTAGAGATGAGTTTTGTACGGAAAGATTGATTTCTCCGTTACCTGGTGCCAGCAGCTCCAGCGTGCAGGTAACGGGGTGTCCAAAGGCCCTCCTGTGGCATTCAGCTGGCAAATCTGCAGGACTGCCTGCGCGTAACCTGTGCATCTCGGTGCTGAAGCCGCCCCTGGGTTTCAATATTTGCGGGTGATATGCCCCCTGCAGTGCTGGTGCTCAGTAAAGCTGTACCAGCTTCAAGCACCTCAGGTTTTCCTAAGCCCTGGATTAACATGCAAAGATTATGATGCGTTTTTCTGTGCATACTGATTTTTTCCATAGTCCGTTACATGCAAAGCCTGTAGCCGTGCACAGGGGAAGTCACAGCACGTGTGTTTCTTAACCGTCGCCAAACGGCCTCTCGAGGCTTAGCTGTGTTTGGCGTCCTGAGCTCCAACAGCGCGTGGCACTACCAGTGGGTAACGCACGTCTGCTAGCGCTGCGTCTGTCTGTCTGTCCCTGAAAGTCAGCAGGCACGTGCCGATGTGTATGAGCGCACAGTTTGGACTGAAGAAAACAATTTACGTACCTTTGGGTTTTGGCGAGAGGGAGGCTCGAAAGGAAAAGGATGGTTGCGTTTGTTATTTATGGCAATACAGGAGGTCTGTGTGAGTCTTGCCGAGCAGAGCCAACGGTGTTACGTCTGCATTAACAAAAATTTTGTGCAAGAAGCATTCAGACTGAACTCTGCCCTCCTATTACGAGTACGTGTAAGTACCTACTGAATTAATTGAATGGAGAATGCCAATGTCTTCGCTGGTTGTAGCACTCCCGCTGCAGTAAATAGCTCTCCGCTAAGATTTTCCATAATGTCTCCTCCTGCCACAGCATCCGTAATTTTTTGAACGAACTCTGAATTGCAGGGGTAGTGGTGTTGTGAAAAGCTCACCTTTCCAAGCTGGGAAGCTCTCAGCACGGAAAGGAGATCGAAGATGGTTTTCACTACAACTTCACAGCCAACATAAGGGTTGGCTTTGTAATTAGTCTCATACGGGGCAACGTGATGCATCGACCAGATGCAGACCTGGACAGCCTTCTGTAGCGCGGATTAGATAATGTGTTTGTCTCTGTGTTCACCTGCCTGGAAGGTTCTGAATTAAGTGCGTGTATTTCGTATTCGTAAGAATAATAACGCCGTCTCCGGAACAGAACACATCTGAGGACGCTTTCCGTGCTGCTCTGAAAGGATATCTGCTGATCCCCCTTCCCTCTGCCTCGGCTGCAGCCAGGGACCACGGAACAAACTTTTTAGAACTAGCCAAAATTAATGACGGTCAATTATGGTAAATAACTTCAGGTTGATTGAGGTATCTGGAACAGACTTTAATGCTATGAAAAGGTTCATTGACTCTGTGAGCTCTTCTGAAATGTCCACTAGTGCCCTAGCACTCGGCTGAATCACGCGCAACGGCACGAAGGAAGAGATTTAATGACTGGGCCGTAGGAACGTAGGGATGGTCTCGCTTTGCGCTGGTGCTCTCGCGCCTCACGCCATCATCCCTTTGCCCTTACGTTCTGTGAAGTGCTTGGCAACGGATGCAGATTGGCAAACGGAGCTATCGTTAGTACGTATAACCTGGGTTTTGATTCTGATTGCTTGACTCTGAAGTCACTTAGGTGCTGGATTATGGAAAACAGATAAACAAGAATAGATAAACCGCTCGTATCACCCTGCATTTTTTGGACAGGGCTTAGCAATTTATAGTGGGTGCACGTAGGGAGGGGACCCCACAGCTTCACTTCCCAGCAAGGTGTGGGGAAAGGCAACGCGCTGAATGAGGCTTGCCAAGTCATTACGAGCTGATAAGTAGCTCAAATCAGCCTTGAAGTCGACAGTTGTTTTCCGATGTTAGCGCTGCTGTTAAGGAGTAACGTACTTAGGTAGTGCCAAGAACAGCAGACAAAAAAAGGAAAAAACGGTCGGCACCAGGCAAACTGTAGCTAGAGCAGGTACTGCTGAATATCCTCACGAGTCCTGGGACGGTTCCTGGCATACGCTGCCTGCCAGGCTGGGTGAAAAGGTTGGGTTTTTACCACTGAGCCCGCTCCGGGGGAGGTTTGGGGTTTCTGTGGAAAGAAGTACGCAAGTTGCATTTCAGGAGGTGGGAGGTTCGATGCTTGGAAATGTTTCCAGTGCTACTTTTTCTTTTTTCCAAATCTTGGCCAAAAACGGTCACTACGTTTTTTCCTGGAAGGAGGTTATTTTTTTTTGCTTTGTTGGGATTGCACACTTGAAAAATATTCTGTGGGTGCACGCATGGAAAACCTTGGCATATTGAGAATACCCTCTGTGTGCAGAAAGCGGCTACGTATTAGAGAGGGGTGGAAAAAAAGGAATCCTTTCTGACTCAGTCTGCCTGCTCACATGCACACAAAAAAGAGATTCTCCCCTTGGTTTGAGCCACAAAACCGCCTGTTTAAGAAGGGAAGCAACGGCCAAACCAAAAGTTGATAGTTGGTTCTTTCTGAAGGGCTCTCAAGCTAGCCCACTCGCGCCGCGGGCGCAGCGACGCGATGACGTTACTGGTGTGTTTCCGTTGGACGCTGCGCGCGGCGGCTCTGCCAGCTACAGCCATTTTTAGAACGGGAGCTGGGCTCTGAATTTCCCGCTTGTGTGCTATCACAGCGTTCGCATTCTTGAGAGCGAGAGGACTCGTGGTTGAATTGTAAAGCTGTTTGCAGACCTGGTCTCTCGCCCACGGTGGCGGGCTAAGCTTCTGGAAACAGCTGGGGACGACCTTGCCGTTTGATGTGGGGTTTGGGGAGGGTTATTTATGCGTTGCTGTGAACCGCTGTGGTACTTAGGAGGGAGAGGCTTCCCAGCTAGTTCAGCCAGTAGTTGAATCTGCTCAGGATGACTTAGAGCGTGGCCATCCAGCACGTTTTGCAACGTTGGCCCTGGTCTGGCTGTCCTTCCACGAGCAAAACTTACATCCAGGTTACTGGGAGTCTTGCCTGAAAACATGTGAAGGGCCAGTTTGTGTGCTTGCAGCCTTGGCTGTCATCAGCTCCGGTGTAGAGAAAAAGGGCTTGCAAACCGTGACATCGTTTGGGGAAATGCCCCGTTACAATATGAGTCAACGTCAATGGAAGGCAGGACCGTCCTTCTTTTCTAGCCGTTGGACGCTGGTTGCTTTTGCTGGGTTCGTAGAGGAGGAAGATCCCTGTGTATTTAAGGGCTGCGTCATCTTTTTCTTCTAAATGGAAGAGGGGGGAATGGGGACGCTCCCTGACTGTCACAGAGCCAGAGACGCAAGAACAGCCCGGTTCCTAGGAGGACTGCAATACGTAGCTGGTGGTTTGCACTGTGAGATGTTCCAAACAGGCCTCTTTACTGTCGGTTATTGCTTAGAGCCTCTTGGTGTGCTGGCTTACATTTAGGAAGAAGTAAGTAGCCTACAGCTGTGACTTTTTTCCTGTCAAAAATCCATGGTGATGTTTTGCTTTACTGTCCTAAGTGGAAGAAATAGCTTTTGAGTCATTGCAGATGTAGGCTATTGAACGCATCCCCTTGCAAGCCAATTCAGAATGGTTCATCTGCACTCTGCCCCTTGACCCGTGTCTTCAAGGGACCCTTCTAGTATTCCGTGATATTCACAGGAGAGGATATTCCAACACCTATTTTATTTTTTTTAATTACAAAAAAGAGTAAGTCAGTCAGAAACTCTAGGTTGGCTGTTGCGGTGCTGGGGTATGAGGGGGAAACACACAACGCTGCCGTTTGAGATCTTTTCAACGCGAGTTGGGGCTGACTGCGTTAGTTTTGAGCGCTAAAGCCACAAGTTAAGCGTTGTGCGGCATGCCCCGTGAACACTGAGGCGTCCCGTGTCTCTGGCACTCTATAACACGCGCCTGATGTGTTGCAAAAAAAGGAGGGGGGAAATTCTGGGTTAGGAAGTGAAGTATGGGCCCTAAATCTCCTTAGGGATGCATTTTATGCTCGAAATAAGAACCGTGCGATAAATTATAGAACCGTAATGTTGAACGAATTTTTTCCTTGGGTATCTGATGACTTCCCCTACTCCTGCGCCACTACAGCAATCTCTTCAGAGCTCCCAGTTTGTTTTATCCAAAGAAGTGGTGACCCTGCAGGTGAGGACGTCGTGCAGGAGGCTGTTTCTGAAATGGAATTGGAGCAGATGTTGATGTCTTACTATTTCTTGTAGAGTCTCTTCTTGGCGGCCTCGGAGAGCTGAGTTCCCTGTACGGCAGCGTAGAGCAGCAACTGAACGAAACCCTGAGGCGACGCCGGCACGCGGGAGACGACGACGACTACAACATTGAGGTGCTGCTAGGTGTGGACGACTCTGTCGTCCGATTCCACGGCAAAGAACACGTCCAAAACTACCTCCTCACCCTCATGAACATCGTGAGTATCTTCCCTGCAGCGCTTGTTTTGGAATGCGGAAGGCTTTTGTCATCTCTTGAGGGAGTATCTAGGAGACCGTGCTTGATACTAATATGGTCGTTTCATCTGCTGTTGGATATGGTTCTCTCTTTTCAAGATGTTCCTTTAATTGATCTTTTTCGCAGTAGTTTTCTAGGGCGCATTCTAGGGTAATTCCAAGAATTTGGAAATAGTTGAAAAACAGTGGGGGAAAAATGTAAACTTGATACATTTCTCATAATTCCGGACTTCTCCCACAACACAGTTCTGAAGGAAACCTGGCTGAAAAATAAACATGCAGAGCGAAAAAATGTTCTAAACACCTAATGGCTCTTGGAAAGAGAGCAAACCTTCTGGTAACGTCTGTTCCTTAGCTCGTGTGGCAATACCCATATTTACATAGAAACCGTAAAGGAACAGAGGATCATGGAACTGCGTTATCATAGTGTATCTTATGGGATTAGAAGTATTTTTTGTCTTCGTAATCCATTTCTGGCTGTAAAATCAGTGGCAAGATACTACATTTAAAGATAGAGTCTTGAACTACGCTATCAGATTCTATGGAAATGCATGTTACAGAAGGGCACAGCTCACGCTGTGCGTTAAAAGTCACATGCTGTACCAGCACCGAATGCGAGAATTGCTCAAGCGTCAGTGTTTTCTGTTTTTCCTGTCTTAGAAATCTAAAAAAAAATGCATGAAAGGAATGTAAAGGAGATGTATAATCCCTTGCAATGCGTGGCCTTTTCTTAATGCACGTGAGTGTCAGACCCATATGGATGTATCTCAGAAGCTGCGGGGATCATACGGTTTTCCAGGACAAAACCCCAATATTCTAAGGAGAGATGATAAGAGATAATAGGTTTACAGTTAATAATGATTTGAGAAATGTAGAAATGATTCTTGTATTTTTTACTCTCGCCTTTTTATCTCTGGAATAATTTAAAAATGATTCCTTAGGCATACAAGTCGCCTTTGTAACATTTCTTTATTCTGCGTCACATCAGCGGCCATCATTCCTGACTGAGATCATTCAGTCCTTTCCCTGTTGAAAGTATTGGAAACATTGTCTTCCCCTCATCCCCAAACCCCCCTTCGGCTCCCCTTAGCACACAGCATTTCGCTTTGCGGGGCAGAGGAACACCTACGGTGAATTTGGCCTTCAGTCCTCATATCGTAAGATGTCCTGCACCGACGGCTTTTACGCGGCTCCCGTTCGGCGCGCGCCGTGCAACCCCCGCGTCACGCACCTGGCTACTCGGGGATGGAGACCTGGGGCTGAAACCGGTGCCTGTCGTGTTTCAGACTGAAAACGAGTTGCCAGATCTAGAGAAGGTCTCTTGGCTCCCTTTGCAAGCCCCTCAGCCAGCTAAATAAGCTATTCCTTCGGAAGGAACTGCGCTGCCAAACCCTACGCGTGTTAAGGACTGGGCTGCTTAGGTGCAGAAGAGACCCTGCAAATATTGAGGGGGAAGCACGGGGCCAGGGCCCAAGTGTACCCACAGCTATGGTCTCCTTGTCATAAGACTCCCATCACCTTTTAGATGTTTGAAGCCAGGTCCTTTTGAAAAAAAAAAAAAAAATATCCTCGACACCACCCAGCTTTTGCCTGTCACAACCCCATCTTGGTTCTCCAAGCGCTCAAACACGCTGAGCGGCTTTGAAAATCTGCCCCACCTGTTCTGGCTCCCAAAATGAGGACCAGCAGTTTAAAAATTGAATCCATAGAATTTGAGAGGGGAAAAAAAAAATACCTCCATATGAATTTAAACCAACTGATATCTTTTCCAGCATAACTCTGTGCAGAATTATAATAACTCTGTATAGAATTATACTGTGCTATAAATCTAGAGTAAGAAACTCCAGACATACACACACATTGTAACTGAAAACCAGAATTTAGTCTGCTAGGTTTACAACCTGGAGCTTTGTTCAGTCTTACGCCTTTCCTACTGCTTCTGTAATGGTGAGGTTGGATGTTTTAGGTCGCTGCGGTATTTCAGTGTGCGGGGGGAGTTGCTCTCTAACAGTAAGCGAACGGATGCTGTGGAATCTTGGTATGATGAAAAGGGGCCGTTAAGTTGAGTAATGTCTGAGCATTTGGGTTTGGAGCCCAAGGCATTGAATCGTACCTTCCTCCCCGCCTCTGACACGCACACAGAATGCCTTTGACTGCGGTGCGAAGGTCTTGAAGGAGAAATAAGCCGCTGAACCTGGGCTGCTCTGTGGATCACCTCCGAGACACGAGTGAATCGACAGCAAGGCTTCCATGGCCCTGAATGTACGTCTCGTAACCGTCTGTCTCTGCTGTTAGTAGGAGCTTCTTGTTTAGGCTTGAGGGAATGGGAAAGCCCAGGAGCAAGTCTTTGCGTGTTCCTCGGAGATGAGACGGACGGATGCTGGGGACGTCAGCAGACACAGTTCAGCACAGCTGAATTCGCCTGGCAGACACGAACCTGCCTTTTGGGTCAGATTTCGGTTTGGATCTAGTGGGGTGAAGGTCCAGGAACCGAACCTTGCATATCTAAACTTGTATCTTTTACTCTTCCTAAAAACGGGAGGCTCTAGATAGGAGAGCATTTGTGGTGGCTGTTACGAGCCTTCGTGGGGATTTTTGCAAGGCTGGTGAGACTCGCTGAGTCTGGCCTCCCCGGGCAGGGAGGCTAAGGGCAGTTTTGCCACATGCAATGCAGTGTATGCAGGACAGCTCCGGAGAAGCTTCAAAAGAACAAATATATACAGGCATCGTAAGCAACGCTGTTTAGCTCAAGTGCAAAAAAGCAGTATTAAATCGCAGTCATTCAGCTCCGTGCCAAGACTGGTTATCCCCCGGGCAGGGTGCCATGCTGACACAGCTCTACTGCGCTCGCTGCCAGAGCTGGCTCGCTGGGAACCAAGCACCGCGGGGCCTTGCCATGCCATTGGGAGCTCCAGGCCTGCAGGTTCAGTTTCAGCTAAAGAAATGCCTGGGATATTTCCTTCTGCTTAACATTTGTACGTACTTTTGGCTTAAGAAACAGGCTGGAAAACCCAGCATCAGCGATGCATCTGAAACAGCTGCTAAGGGTCAGTGCTGGAAGCCAGAAGCCCAGATGGGCTCATCTAGTCCAAAGCGATAACATGTCGTGTGGTCCCTAGCTTTTAGGCGAAGCTTTACCATTATCTCGCAGCACGAAGTGCCAAGGTCACCGACAGCCTGCCTTCCAGAAGGGCCGAGGGCTAACATCACGCTTTGGAGAGCGCGTCGTTCCCCTGGAGGTGTTTTGGGTAGCTCGGCGGCCTGTCCGTTACCGGGCAGATTCAGCTGAATTCCTTGAGGTGATGGAATCGGCATTTTCCTGATCTTACCTTTACAAGGAGCAGACAAGGAGTTGTAGCCTCCATCTCCTGAACCCTGCCATGGCGTTAGCGCCGGTCCTCATCCCCGGCAGAGCATCCCTCGGAGAACCTGCAGAAGCACAGCGGGAAAGCAAACAGAGTGAAAACGGGCAGAGGAGCGGGGAGCAGAGTGCAAGTAGGATGGAGAAAGCCTAAACTCCCCTTCTTCTCCTCTCCCTGCGTTCGTTCCCCCACCCTGGTTAGGCCCCAGGGCCACGGCAGCCCTTCGGTGGCCCCCTGGGTCTGTCAGGAGCCAGGTCCTGTCTCTGTCGCGCGGTGCTGTGCCACGCTGGTGCTGAGCTCGCTTCTCGCAAGAGGAGAATCGGTTTTCACCGCTGTTTAACGTTTTATGGGCACGTGGCACCGTCAGTGTATCTGGTGCTTTGCAGCTACGCTGCTTCTGCGTTATGTTGTCTCTGGTAACGTGGCTTTCCTCTCCTGCGCGCTGCCTAAGAGAAACCTCCAACAAAAAGCGGGGATCTTGAAGGCACTGCGTTCAGTTTAGAGGAATTTTGTTTTTCAGCTAACAAAAGACAGAACAGCGAAGCATTCGGAACGATCGCTTTCAGCGAGCGGCAGCTAGTATGCTTTCTGAAGTGGATACTTCAAAAAAGCTTGGTGTTTTCAGCACTGTGGTGGTCGATCTGCAATTAAGGGTCTCCCGCACGAGGCAGCTGACATTTGTTACTCCCCTGGGTGGTTATTTAAGACAAACCTTCCCCGGATTAAAGTAACTGAGATCAGAAAGATACGAACTGAGGGCACCAGGTTATACTGCGGGATTCTGAGCAGGTTTGGACTTGGTAGTATTTGCATCTTTCCAATTTTTTTTCCCTTGAGAATAAACCAAAATGAGGCAGTGGAGGGGTACTGCCGTGCACCATGCGTTCTCACGTCGCAGGTTGCTTGTGACAGAATTCCTCTTTTGGTGATCGCTGTCCACCCAGCGTTGCGGTTTTGTGGCTATCCCCTTCTTTCTAAATAACAGTGTCTGTTTGTTGTCCACGTGCTGAAGTCACGGAGAGCTTTATGGTTAGCTTCAATAAGAACAGACAGTGCCAGCAAAGTCTAAAAATTGTGCCGCGGGTCTCCATGCCCGCGCGCTACCTGCCGTTCTTTCTCCCTCCATCACTCGCGCTCATTTTTTCGTTCGCTCTTGCCTCTGTCTAGAAGTGTGTAGCAGGGCCTAAACACATGGCTTAATTGAGAGATTTCTTGACTTTTTCTAGTCTCTAACGCGATCGCTTGCCTGATAGTGACTGTCTCAGGTAAAGGAGAAGGGTCGGATCAGCCCTCCTTCTTTCTTGTGCGGTTCCAGACGGAAAGGAGAGCTAACGGCGGTGACCGACGACAGCATGCGTCAGGCGGGCAGGGCATCCGCAACGTTCTTCCGTGCGGCTCCGCTGCACCGCACGGGTGAGCAGCGTTTCAGAAATGCCGGGGTCCCCCAGGCAGCGACCTGTGCCTGTGCTGAACCACGCGGGTCGTCGGTGCTGCTGAAGAATGTGCAACAGGAGCAAACGTGGAAGCAAGTTAACTTTTGCATGCAGAAAGTTTGAAATGAAAAGTTGTTATTCGTGCGAGCGACAAAATATCCGTGATAC